AAATAAATCCCATATACACATCAGTCTTTCACGTGCATAGAACTGTATGCACACACAAAAACTTAATATCAACTCTTTCTTAGTCTTTGCCGTGTAGACGCTTTACTAGCAAAACACGTGCAAAATGCAACACTCCCAGGTGTGTATTTAACAACGTGACATTTGATAATTGAACCGTTCCCACAGAATTAACTGGAATTAGTATTAAATACTGTTTTCACACAGGATGTTATTACTAGTTGGATATCTAAAAGGTAGACATTAACTTGTTTCTTTCAGGGCTTTGTTTTGTTTTTTGGGGAGAGGGGAATGCATGGATTGTACATTAGGTATTTTAATTGGTTGTATTTTACTATTATTTCAATTTTATTTTAGATAAATGATATCTTTAATGTTTTCCATTACAATTTTATTCACCTGATCTGTTAACAAAATGTTGGCTCAAAATTTTGAAAGTGTTCTATAGTATAGTACATAAATACAGGCCTTGCGCACGCGTTGAACAAATAACTGGTTTGACGGTTAATGCGGTTTTTATACACACCGAGACCCATACTCATTACCAAGCAAGTACATTCTAAAATGTTGCCGCTTCCTTAGATATGATAGCTTGAAGAGATTGCCACTGGGGAAGTTCTCAAAACAAAAAAAAAACAAAAATTATATCTCAATTAAAAGCTTTCAACTTGAACTGTCAGATTTAATTAAACTGGTTTTCCTTGGCATTGAACAAGTGGATTTTTACATCCCTCATACAAAATTTGGGGTTGGCGATTTTGGGGTAAAAGCTAGGGTCGGTCGGGAACCTGAAACGCTTACAGATGTATATATATATTTTTCTTTTGCCTAAATGTAAAATGATGCTGGTGATATTGATATTGTAAATGACGTCGTAAACAACTCAATCGTTAGGCCTGGGGCAATCAGCCACTTTGCACATTCAACTTTACAATGACACCATTAAAAACAAAATTTAAGGAAAGTATAAAGCATTATTGGCCTATAGGAATAACAGAACTGAAAAATCAAATAGTCAATTAGGCATTTTAATTCATTTGAGATGAAACACGTACAGCATTTGATTGGTCATCTGAAATAATTTTATATAATTTTAAATTAATTTAATTAATGTTTTGCATTCATTTACATATGAGGTCCAGGCGATTGTTAACGACGTCATTTACCCCAGTGTCACAACTCATATCACGAAAAAGATTCATTCATGACATAAAAAAAAAAGTGTGATAAAAAAGGTCAATGTAATTCCGCCTCACTTTGAATGCTACTTACATTACCTATCCACGACTGAGTGACCAGATTTTTTAAAGAATCACACAAAAATATCTAAAATCATTGTTTTTTTCTGCCTTTTTAGCAGATATGAATTAGAATGGGGATTCAATCCTTCTGTATTCTGAAATTTGTGGCGGTATATCATGATTAAACTTTTGCAAATATACTTTTTTTCTGGCTCTAGCTGCTATGTTCATGTGTTTGGCATAGAAACATGAGAAACCTAGCTAATTTAACCCTTTCAACACATAGACCATAATGGACTCACCCAAAAAAATGTATGGTAGAGTCTACTAAAGTTTACCTAGGGGTGAAAGGATTTAACGAATGGGATTTGAATTCCCTTGCAACATTTTTGCTGATATTGGTATAAAAATGCTTGGGTTAATATGACAACTGTAGTAAAACTGTAGTTACAGATTAATAGTTCGACCAACCACCTGGTCAAATCGGTTTGTTTTGACACATATATACAGGTAACATACAATTAAGTAATAAATCAGGGATCGGTTATATATATATATAATCAAATCGTAAACACAGTAATATCATGACAGTACACACGTCTGTCAGCAATGTGAAGGGAGCGTTCTGTACTACTCCGTATTGATAGGACATTATACAAAGTCGGGGACTAAAATTGTTTAACTAGCGTGTGCACAAGAAAGAAACACAACTATCGCTATCATGTTGCATATTTATGTACAATTTGTGAGGCTATCATTCTATCACTGATAGCCCAAAATCGACCAATAATTCCATTATTTCATTACTCAAATTTTATATTCGAACAATTCAAAATGTAGTTCAGCAGGATTCAATCTATCACTGGATGAAAAAATGTTTTTACTGTTAAAACAATGTGTTCCCACATATTCGAATTGACTGGAGATTTACCATATATATGTAGCAGAACTGAACTGTGTCCATATAGAGTTCAGAGGGTCCTGGCTTCCAACACCTGTCAGCTGGTTGTGCATTTTTAGGTCACCTGAGCTTTAGCTATTGCTATCCGTCTTTGTCCGTTGTCATGCGTTGTCCGTTAATATTTTACATTTTCAACTTAAGCTGAAATACTGTTGAAGGGATTTCATTGGGACTTCATGGGAATGTTACTGATATCTCCCTGACCAAGTGTTGGAATGATTGACTCATGGTCCTGACCAAGTGCTGTTATTTTTCGGGTCGATCAGAAATCCAATATGGCCATCATGGCCGCCATTTTGAAAAAAACTATTTCAAACTTGAAGTCAAGTTCTACTGGGTTGATTTAACTGAAACTTGGTAGGAATGATCGACTCATGGTCCTGACAATGTGTTGTTATATTTTGGGTTGATCAGAAATCAAATATGGCCGCCACGTCCGCTTTTTTGAAAGTAACTATTTCAAACTTAAAATTAAGTTCTAATAGGCCAATTGAACTGAAGCTCGGTCTAGGAATGATCAACTCATAGTCCTGACAAACTTAACTTATCATTATGCTTAACTATTTTTTACTCAAATTGGTAAGGATGACTGACATCATTATCTCCACTTCATAATTCAACAACGAAAATAAATACTGCAGGACTCAGGTGACCGTTAAGGACCATGGGCCTCTTGTTATTTCTTGTTATGTTTGGCACTAAAGGGTCCCATGTGTCTTGGAATCAAAGACTTTGTTGAAGGAGGGAGGCAATGGGGGAACTAGTACTGGACTAGGTCGTTTGCTGGCAACCAGGTACCAAGTTAGCTATTGTTGTCCATGGTTTGATTTCAGTTTGGTTGTTAATTTCCCTTTCTATTGTTCTACATGTTTTATATCAAATTTACATCCTGTCATTGATTTATCAATATAAAGCACATGTATTCATGAAAAATATAGTGAATAATAGACTTTTTATTGTCAAACAGAGGAATTCATTTGAATTTTACATTCATCATAATTTCTAATTTTAATCAAAATCAGTACGTTTTGAGAAATTACATAACATAAACAAAACACTGTAGGGAAATGTTGTACATTATTTACAATGATCGGACACTGAACACTTAAAATAAATCAAAAACCAGGAAGTTTGTAAATTTATAGTTCCTTTACCTTTAATGATTGTAACAGTTATGAAATAATAAAAAAATAAAAAGTGATTCAATGTATTTACAATATTTCCCCACAGATCACAGGTACTAGCCTCGTCTGTCAGTGTCAATACACCCTTAATATTATGGATGTATATTGTACATGTATTGACAGACCAAGCTAGTACCTGTTGGTAGATGGATGCAATAGCTGGCATCTTTAACTGCTTCACTTTGATAATCATATAACACTGCAAACTTTTTTGTTTTCTTGGGATTTGTTTTATTGTGAAGATGTTTATAGCTTTATAATTCATAATATCATAATTCGTACGTGCCGACCTTTCAATTTTTAATTTAAGTGAACTGCGAACCTAAAAATGTTTGAAAAGCACATTCGCGACCTCTATTTGACAGCAATTAAATGTCACAGGTTAAGCTGTTCTATACAACAAACTGATAAATCCTGAAGAAAAAGTAAAATGTTGGGAATAAGGGTGATATAATTTGGAGATAAGGTTGAAAATGTGAAGTATTATTCTTCCAAAAAGAGGATTACTTGCAAAATTTTGTAATATCCATAATTATTCGAAAATCCATTATCAACAATAGATTTCCATATAGTAATTACTTGAATACTATTTAATTCTTTTGTTTTTGTTTTTTAATGAAATAAAAATCATTTTCGTTTTTTTAGACTGATGTATTTATTAGTTTGATCATTATATATATACATAGTAATGACTTATGTTTCTGTATTGAATAGAAGATGATTATCATTTATGATAACAATAAAAATATCATTCATGTATGTTTTGACAGACCTAGGACTTATAGTTATATATAATTAGATATCATCTAATTCAGTGGACAGACGGTACATTTCAAGACATGACATGGTGTAATGGTACATAGATGGCTATGATGGCTACTAGTACTGTAGATATAAGCTTGTACTTGCTGCGAGGTTGTGGTTGAATTTGTTTGACAGCTCTTAGATGAATTGCTAGAGCTAGCTCTGTCACGATAATAAATTTTATTATGGCAATATGCATGTAGTTATTTGGCTGCAATGTTTCCAAGAATGACATCAACACAACAGATTTAATAAGAAAGGTAAATACATAATCACTCAGTGTCTTAAAAATCAATGACGATTTATCTGTGACAGTCGTCCCACAAAGTATGTGTGTGTGTATTGTGCATGGCTATATTTTTCTTTATGTCAACAAACAAACAGTGGACATTTCTGGAATGGAATAATATAGAATTTATAAACAGATACCTTACCTATTCCGTCGACATAGCAGAAACAGTTGTAACTGAAAGTTTGACCAGTTAAAACTGGAAAACTTGGGTCGTCGGTTTCAGCAGTTGGAGGGAAATCGCACATTAATATTCACGTTCAATAGTAGACCGAGACTTCCGGTTAGGTCAGACTGGAATATTTCATTATCTTTAGAGGGAGAATAGTATATTTGTAATCATGTAAGTTGGTTGAAAACCTGTATTCACATATAGTTATGCATTATTTATTACTTGATGTTAGTAAATACCTATAGTTTAGTGATTATGGGTACATTTATAAAATGAGATTTATTTAGATATACAAATAATGCATCCCTATTCACCTATTTCTTTTTAAAAGTTGCTGTTGGTCTAAAAAAGATGGCGCCCTCCATGTAAACGTGAGTTGTACGATCACAACAACTCACGTTCTGATTCTGGCGTTATTCCGGAAGGACTTATATATCTGACAAGCTTCGTCGTTTCTGAAATGATAATGCCAGAGAAAAAAGATTCACAGAAGGACATTTTCTTCGTAAGTAACATACATTTTTTGTACGTATATATTGCACGTATTCTCTTTCTGGTGCCGCTTGACCACAGGGGTTCGTTACAAATGTCTGAAACACACATATGCTATATACTGATAGTATGCTGTGGCCCATATCAGACAGTATAGCATATGTGTATTTCAGACATTTGTAACGAATCCCTGTGGCTTGACAGTATATGTTAGATCGTAGCCCAGTTTCTCTTATATTCTTTCTTTTTATCGTAATTGTTGTCCTGTTCTTCTCCATTCACTATATGTCGCCCGTATCACATAAATCGATTTTTTCTACCATATAGTGACCACCTTCAACATATTTGTGCAATTTTTTGTCCAATAAAATTTGTTGAAACTTATTGAATATTTTGTCACAATAGATAGTTTGAATACCATCCTACTAAGGCCCCAATCCACACACACGTGTATACACCCACTAACACAGGGGTTCGTTACAAATTTCTGAAATACACATAGAGTAAAGGTAGATGATTTCGTACAGGACGTGATTTTGTACACTTAATTTTTTTTTTTCTTATTTTTTAACCGATCACTTTTTCGATGGACGTATAAAATTGTTCCAACAGCAAACCACCACTAATTGTCCTTCTTCGGTGATGCTAAATATAGGGAGTCAAGCTGTTGTCTGCAGAATGGGCCCAATGTAACTTTAAAGCATTGTTTAACGTACACGCCAACTTAATGACAGGGCACCTATCGTAGGGAACAGTCATTATTTCGAAACTAATCTAAAATATTTGTTTGTTTTTGGACTTTAAAACCTTCTGGAGCATTGAATTTTTTATTAAACGTCCAATGAAATAATTTGTTCAAAAAACATTTCACTGGTCTTTGAAAATCAACAAATCTGAATGAAATATATTGAACTCATTCGACATTTAAGGAATGATTTTTATTTTTTCAACATTTATGAGGTCATAACAACAATGGGTTTATGGACATATTGAATGAATCGCGTTAGCGATTCATTTAAAATATGTCCAAAAACCCATTGTTGTTATGACCTCATAAATGTTGAAAAAATAAATATCATTCCTTATATTTACATTGACGAATCCTTTCAGTGGATCGATATAACAACGAATAAAACAAATAAACAGGGTTTGTTCCTGCTTATACACGGGTGCAACGCAGTGGCGAGAACAGTGTTTTTTCGCGGGGAAATGTGACACTATCGTGAGAGATCTTAGCAACCGTCAACAACAATAACACAACAAAATGTAGTTCCATATTCAATGTTTATTTGTAGCACAGGACACGTGAATACGTGGATATTTCACAAAGCACAGTTCAATAATATTTTAAGATGTAAGAATTAAGCATCTAGGTCGGTCGTTCCGAGTGAGTAGTTTTTGTAGTGTATTACTACGCAGTGTGATCAGGTTACTATCAGTTCCCACGTGCTGAGATTCTATGAACACCTGTGTTATGCATTTATGAATGTAATTTTTGTCAATGGGTCTAAGCATACAGAATGTAAATATATACTTATATTCGCTATCGTTACTAAGAATAGCACATTTGTAGAGTGTACAAATCACGTCCCCCAGTCTGCCGCGAAACGTGGAAGTAAATGATGGTAAAAGAAAGATACCTTGCGCAGTAAGTTTCTGCGCATATGACGTCACATTACCAAATATAGCGCAGATTGTGTACATCTTTTAGATCAAAGTAGATCTGATCTTCTTGAAGATGTATTTGAAAAAAAAATGTAAATCTGCTTCAAAAGTGTACGAAAATCAGCCTCAGGTACCCTCACTGTATATATGCTATATTGATATGGGTCACACATACATTTTTTGTACCGAACCCCTGTGTAGATACAAACTTGTGTGTCTGGTACTTATATGGTAGACATATCATAGTCTCCGGAGTCTTGCCAAGCAGGTCTTTTTTGGGTGCATGTGGATCCCCAAGTAGCAATGGCTGATGGGCAATGTTGTGTTACCCGAGATGTGTGTATGACATCTATGTGTGGGGCGTGCAAGTACAATGTCAAGATAGCACAGACCTGTCTGCTCATTTATTGTCTGACTTTAAGTTAACATGATTGTCCCATCATAGATAAGAACTCATCTATTTGGATCACTTTATTTGTAAGTCACAAAATCATGGGACAACCAGAAATACAGTAAAGCACAAGTTGTATAACATATGTCTATATCATTTTCTACTATGATGTATGTTTAGGTGTGCTGTGACCCATATCAGTATAGCATAAATTGATATGTAGAACTCAGACATTTGTAACAAACCCCTGTGCACCAACTTAACCGTTTCACCACTGTAGACCATAATAGACTCGTCCAGATCAATGCTTGGGAGAGTCTGTTAAAGTTACCTAGGGGTGAAAGGGTTAAACACTGTTAACACAGTTGAACCACAGGGGTTCATTACAAATGTCCGAAATACGTGTACGCTATACTGATATGGGTCACAGCACACATAAATGTTTCATATCATGACTCTGAACACTTAAAAGATATGATATTGAGATGACCCCAGTACTATGAAGGATGGATACAAGAAGATTTATTAATAGTCGTATATGTTAAACAATAACAACAATAACTCTGTAGAGCTATTTTTGCAAAAATATTTCTTATTTTTATCAATATCTTACCCAGGTCCAATTTCTGGAAATAGCGAATTTTAACATTATGGGACCAATTGTTTTTAGCAATACGGATGAAAAGGACCCACAATAATATATTGTAGATTGATCACTGCCTATATTTATGAATATAACTTCTATGCAAGTGCATTTGTACAATGTGTTTGTAGTGGAATTGATCTTCAACTGTCTACATTTGTGGATTGAAATAAAAGTTAAAAGTAATGTGCACTTATTTATCAGTCCATGCGAAATATGCCGGTCCAAAGGACATATACGATAGAAATCACTACTGTAATTCCGGACCAAATGTCTGGCATACCTTTTCTACCTTAGAGTCATCTTGAGTCATGTCACTTTAAAAGCGTTTTAAATACCTCTGTAATATTGAGTGCAGTCAAGTGCTGTGGTAACCTGTAATGCTTCGTTACATGACTGGGGCAAAACCCGGCAAACCACTGCCAAAACCGAATCCAGTTAACGTTTCCATTTAACTATTTTACACATCAAACAATCTTTCCTTTTCTGTGGAATAGTAAGTATTTCAAGCTAACCTGACCGAAATGTCTTGTAGAAGTTGTTCCGGTCCGGAAAGCTTGGGATAGTTACCTGACTGAATGTCCGATAAGAAAGTTTGTATTTCGCATGGACTGAATTTATGAGTCATTTACAAAACAGACTTTCATGTGTTGGTAAATAACGGACAAGATTCAGTACTATATGTTTCTAGATAATTTCATTGATGTAACAATGGTAGAAGTGATGAAATTAAGAGTGTAACATTATCTTGTCCTTCTTTATATATATATTGTTTTTAGGAGGATGAAGACCTCCCTTACGAAGAAGACATCTTGAGAAATCCGTTTTCAGTGAAATGCTGGTTACGTTATATTGAACACAAGAAAGCTGCTCCCAAAAATGCCATTAACTTGGTATATGAGAGAGCACTGAAAGAACTTCCAGGAAGGTAAACTATATACAGTCAAGTAATATTTGATATCATCTCAAAGGATTGATACATATCAGATAATTCTGTGTAAGAATTAACGCCATTTCTATATGAAAATGAAGGAGACGATGAAATCAACTGAGTGTTGAATATGGTAATGATTACATCAAAATTGCCTATTTTATTTAATAAACTTCATATAAAACCTCATTTTGACCTAAAATAGACATGAAATTCACCCATATTTTTTTGGTGTGAAATTAACCTGAATTAAACCAGGTCAATTTCAGATTGACATCAAGAAATTTTGATTGTAATTAAATTTATATTGTATCATACTTGCTGAAATTTCTTTCTGCTAGTGCTTGTTTGAGTGTAGTACTACTATTTGTGTTTGTTGGATAGCTATAAGCTGTGGTACAACTACCTGAAGATCCGGAGACGTCAATGTAAGGGCCACTGTATCACTGAGCCATTGTACGAGGATGCCAACAACGCACACGAACGTGCCCTGGTGTTCATGAACAAGGTATGTAAACAAGGGTGTCAACAATGCACATCGTCTACAAATGTTGCCTTTTGTTCACGAAGAAGTTTGGTTTGGTTTAGGATTGTTTAACGTCCTATCAATTACAGCTATGGTCATTTAAGGACGGCCTCCCCTTTGTGCAAGATGCATGTGTGAAGTGTATGTGTATGAGCATTTCATAAAATATTTAGAACAAGGATGTCAGTGGTGAACTTGAACATTCCCTTGTAGTGATGGGCAATCAGTTTAAAATCATAATTTATAATCAGTTTGTAAGCGGAGAACTGATTGATGATTAATTGTATAATTTTATGGGACTGTATACCCCAATAAGGTGAGAACAGTACTATTACATCAACAGACAGAGTTGTTGACTGATACATCAGGTTTCGTTCTTGTATAATGGATTTCAAGCAAATTTCATGCAGTCTAATTATCAATCAAGTTGCATAAAAGTCATAAGAATAATGACAGCCAATGCATACTTTATATTGTATACATTTGACACTTTGATTTCCCTATTGAACCAATTATATCATTTATGGAATTTGCAGTCGATAATCGGAGTTGTAAGGTGAAAACTGATCAATTTTCGATTTGAATCGATCATCAGCCCATCACTATGCCCCTGTGATTGTAAATAAGGTAAATTTTAAGGACAAAACAAATTTGATATTAATTACTATGTTTTGATTTCAGATGCCAAGGATTTGGCTTGATTATTGCCAGTTCTTGGTCGACCAGTCTAAAGTGACGAAGACTCGGCGTACATTTGACCGAGCTTTGAGAGCCCTCCCCATCACACAGCACCACAGAGTGTGGCCTGCCTACCTCAAGTTTGTGTGTAAATACAACCTACAGGAGACCACTGTTCGTGTGTACAGGCGTCACCTAAAGGTACTGTCTGAGGAACTATAACAGGCTTTTATCACATTACTGATGAGGTCATGTCATAAATATGGTATTACACTTTTGTAATAATACCTAAATGTGTTGCGATTGGTCAAAATTGTGGGAACACATTCCTACGCCATTACATGTACAGGTAATTAACTTGTATCTACTTTACCACATGATACATTTGCTGTTATTTTAAATAAAATTGAAATGGTTATTTTGTCATTATTATGTTCATTGCATTTAAAATTGCTCATTATTTTTTTTTAAATCTGAAACTACTTTGCACTTCGTGGAATGACAATACTATGATTGGATTTCACAACTTTGGTTATTACCTATATAGAGTCAGCCGATAACACACAATTGTGTTTGATTTTTTCTCTCTCCAAATTATGAATGTTATATGATAGATAGAATCTTGAATTTGTGTACATGTCATATTGAATTTATCAAACTTGTTCAATAATTTCATATGACACTAGCCTAAAGGCTTGCGTCATATCAAATTATTGAACTCGTCTAATAAGTTCAATATGACAGACACTCATGTAAGATCGTCTGTTTATGATATATCTATATAATATATAAATGTAGGATTACATTATTGGCTTCACTATATAAAGCGCTTAATCTGATCTGCAGATATTCTATTTTTGCTCTATTCTTGGCATAAAAACGTGGTTCTCACACAATGTTTAAATATAAATATTTTACTGTTGTTGTTTCTTAGCTGCAGAAAGAGAAGACAGAGGACTACATAGAATACCTGAAAAATATGGAATGGTTAGATGAGGCAGCTATACGTTTAGTGACCGTAATTAATGATGACACGTTTGTGTCCAAAGAAGGGAAATCTAAGCATCAGGTAAGTCAGTACAATGAATCAACATTACACCTGGTTTTGCATATTGGGTCGTGTAATGCTTTTGTCAATCTCTTTAAATTCCATGTGAATAAAGTTTTAAAATTATAAGTTGAATCTCTTTAAAATTGAGACCAAAACGTTCTGCAAATATTGTGACCTGGATCAGGTCTTCCAATACAGTACCTTCAAAGGAAACAATGCCTATTTGTTTGATTGGGGTTTAAGGTCCTCGCACCAGCCAGGGTCATATGAGGACGGAACAATGCATCTATGTGTAGTACAAAAATAAAATTAAAGTTGGGTATGAAATAACCAGTCATTACTTTTGGACTGGGCTGAAGGTTTCTAGATTATGCCGATCATTGTTAAGTATTCTTTATATGGTCTTATTAAAATTGATATATACCTTCTATCTAAAGTTATGGAATGAGCTGTGTGAGTTGGTCGCCAAGAACCCAGACAAGGTGACGTCCCTGAAGATTGAGCCGATCATACGCCAGGGTCTGAAGCGCTACACAGACCAGATAGGAGTGCTCTGGAACTCCATGGCTGATTACTACATCAGAGGCGGACACTTTGAGAGGGTCTGTACCACACTTGTGTCTAGGGCAGGTTGCCATGTCTGTATTCATATGATCAGCTTTTTTTTTGTCCAATATTTATTTAAGGATGTCACTGTTCTGTTTCTACGTAGAGAAATTACACCCAGACTTTTGTGACCTGAATTCGGCAGTGACTTATCTGGTCCAACTCTTTAATCTTATTGGTGAATTTGCTCCCGAAGCTTCTAGGACTGGATTAAATATCTCGGATATTGATAAAAGCACATGAAGCTGATCTATTAATCTACAGTCTCACCGCTGTAGTGACATGATGTACTAGTTTCTAACGTCTTCTCCTAACCTCCTTTGCTATGTGATTTCTGTCATCGTTCAGAATATCCTTTGTCATGTGATTATTTGATTTCTCATGTCATGTGATCTGTGTTTCTTTGTCACATGATATGTTTGTATGTTCCAGGCTAGAGATATCTATGAGGAGGCCATTCAGACAGTCATTACAGTCCGCGACTTCACACAAGTGTTTGATGCTTATGCTCAGTTTGAAAAAAATGTCATTGGTGCAGAAATGGAGACCATGGAAGAAAAGGGAGCCTCAGAGGAAGGTTTGTGTACGAACATCAAGAGTTTATTATGAAAAAAATATTACTTCATTATTTTTAATTAGAAAATTCATATTACATGTAATTCATCTGCTGCACCCATGCCATTGCAACACTTTTTCGTTTCCTATCTTTCCTGTCTTCTTTCTTTTTGATCTATTTTTTTTTCTGGCGGTGTCTCCCTAGGCACCCGTCCCCATATGACCCTGGCTGTTGGGAGGACATTGAGCCTAAACAAACAAACAAGCATGTAATTTACTTTTAGGCAGTTCATGATAGGAAATATTCTCTGAGGAATGGGAGACAACTCTGAAGTAGGAATTGTATCTTAGTTGTGTATTACATTTCGTAATGTGGAATGTCTTATTTAAACATGTAAGAGTTGATGCATTAGACATATATTCAGATGACATTGGTCTTGAGTTATTTTTTCACATATTTATTTTAAAAGTGTATACATCAACTCATTTTCAGATGACCTTGCTCTTGAGTTACGTTTAGCTCGTTTAGAAAGCCTTATGGACAGGCGTCCTATCCTTCTAAACAGGTAAGCAACACAAAAGGTTATGCTCACTTTCGCTCTCTGCTTCCCCTGGAATATATCATAGCAAAATAAAAGGCAAGTGGCCAGTTATTTCATTGGTCTTGGGTAAAATAACCTGACCTATCGCATGGCTGATACCTGTCCTTTGAAGATTACAGCGGATCGATACCTGACTTCAAAGCCAGTTAATTTTACCGTTACTCGACCATCAAAAGATCAAACTGGTCTTCTGGTCTCATCCACAAGGTGGCGCACACTGAGCCTTCAATTTTGTGGATTTTGTCATGACATCTTCTAGGGGTATAGAGAGCAAAAGGGAGTATTACCCCTAGACTATTGCGGATGGCTGAAGATGAAATAGCCAGAAATGGTCTATTGCTGTTTATGTCCCATTCAAAATTGTAGTTATGAATGTACATGTTGAGTAGGAATATAAACAAAACTGGTTGGGACATTTGGACTTGGTTAAAGTTCTAAAATAAATGTGTTATAACCTTTTCTTCAGCATGTATTAAGGTGTGTATGATGAAGGCTTCTTGTTTAAAAATAAGAAAAGATTTGGTTGGGATGTTTGTATTGAATTAAGTATAAGGGAGTATATGAACTGTTATTGCTTCAGCAATGGTGACAGTGCTGCTTTTGTTAAACACTCTTATCCTCTGTATTACATATTTTGTGTTTGATGGTAGTACAAAAATTGTCAATCTGTACATTAAATGAATTTAAATTATTTTTTAGTGTTCTACTTCGGCAAAACCCACACAATGTACATGAATGGCATAAAAGGGTGAAACTCTATGAGGGCAAGCCAAGAGAGGTAAGTGTGATGATATTTGAAGAATAAAACATTTCCTGTCCAGAGGCACCATTTTTCTGTACCATGAAAATGATGATATGCATAGGGATGTGTAACTAGTATCATACTGTTCATGAAAACAAAATACAAAATTCTAAACAGCAAAACAAACACAGAGAGAAAAAAAATGAAAACAGTTAATGAAATCAAGATAATGATACAACAGTAAATAGGCTATTGTAAGATCTCTGATTAAATACTTAGGTCTTTTGTTAGTATGGGGTTTTCACATTCTTCATGACTCCTAATAAAACCACCTGTCTTCAGAAACTACCTATCAAGGTTAATGTGGTAGTCACCTGACCCAGATTCTGATATATTCTGCCGTTTGTCTATCAACAGATAATCAACACTTATACAGAGGCAGTACAGACAGTGGACCCGAAGCAGGCATCTGGAAAGCCAGGTACACTGTGGGTGGAGTTTGCCAAGTTCTACGAAGCAGCTGGGCAGATTGAGGATGTAAGTGCACGGGACTCGGAGAAGCACCTCCAGTAAAACCAGTGCTGATATTTCCGACCAAGAAAAATACAATTAACCTGTGAGAAACAAACGTATCTCTTTCAGATAACAAACTAACATGAAAGAAAATGTTATGCCAAAAAATATGTATATTTCAAGTACCCTGACTAACCCTAGTTTTTACCTCTGACCCTAACAATTTGATCTCACTCGTACGCACTCCATTAAGTGTTGATATAACTTGTCCACAGGATGCAAACAAATTGATGGCCGAACAAACAAGGCAACTATACCCTCTCTACTTCATAGGCAGGTATTCAAACCAAATCCAAGTCCCATATTATTATTTAAAAGGCCTTAAAATATGCTTGGTATTTTTGCAGTGTATTAAATTAGCCTCCTTCCCTCTCTCTTTAAAAATAAATAAATCCTGAAAGACTTGCCCTATTCTTTAGTCATGTTACCTGAAACATACATATTTTCTTTTCAGCCAAGTCTCCAAAACTCTTTGCTTGATCTTTGTGCCAGTCTTATGTTATATGATCCGTATGTTTGATGTTTGTGCCCGTCTCATGTTATATTATCTGTATGTTTGATGTTTGTCACAGGCTCGTGTGATATTTGACAAGGCTGTCAAGGTGCCTTACAAACATGTGGATGACCTAGCAACAATCATCTGTGAATGGGGGGAGATGGAAATCAGACACGAGTAAGTAACCCAATCTTTATCATTATAGCGCAAAATATTATGATCACTAAATTGGTAACATGCCTAGTTGTAGTTTTATGATAATCTTTGGTAACAAGTCTGATTGATGTTTTATGATAACTGTGTATCATGTAGTCATATTTATTTTTCAAAGAAATATCGAACAAAAGCGAAAAAAAATATGTGCATAAAAAATTGACAACAACTTATGCTTTAACATGTATGCTATAATGTATACAAATCCAAGAAACTTAAAAAAATCATGGACAACACAAAATGGTTATGAACATGATTTTTTACTATTCAATGTGTGGCAATATTGTCATGTTCCGTAAACGTTTATTGGAAGATTGGGAAGCATTTGAAAAACAATAAATGTGTAATTACAATTCAGAAACTATGAAGAGGCCCTGAGATTGATGCAGAAAACCACAGTTCCTCCATCTCGGAAAGTGGCCTATCACGATGAGGTGAGTTAGCATCTCCAGTACATCTGTACAATAAGGGTAGGAGATTTATCCTCATGATTGTTTATGTTGAATTTTTTATTTATAGAATGAGACCGTACAAGTATTTAATAAGTATTCTCACAGTTTGAGACAGGACCTGTATAAACAAATTAATTTAAAACTTAAAAACTACAAGTCAAGTGACATATGAAATATACAATTTCGTTGTACAGGTAAACAAGTCAAATCGCTCACTCATATCTTGACAAAGGGACCATTTGGTCTTGAAACGTTGCAACACGTTTAAGATGTACATTATTTGTATACAAAGCAAATATTTGATATAAAAAATTAGAGGTGTTTAGATACATATATAATTTATCCTGGTTGTGTATTTACAGTCAGAGACGGTACAGGACCGAGTACACAAGTCTCTTAAAGTCTGGTCCATGTACGCTGACCTGGAGGAAAGCTTTGGCACGTTTAAGGTGGGTAACCAACGGCAACTTAAAGTAAACATTAACAGACACCAGATTATTCTGCATTCAGTGTCAACTATAGATTGCAATGAAAAATGTACATGCTGAGAATGTTTGAATATACCTAGCTACTACGATCTTGAATATCAACTGTATTTTTACACCATCCGATTGATACCATTTTCAGTATTGACTACATAGTATAAAATCTGACTGAATTCTACAGTGAATTTTACAAATTGTGTCAGTAGTAATTATACCCCTGTGTGATGATTTGTTTTGAAACTTTACTCCGTGAAAGCACATCATAGGTAGATGTGCATGAAGAATGGAATTAATGATTTGACTATTTTCCTGGAGTTATGGCTCTTTAAACTCTCTGCTCCAGAAACCTTGTTAGCGCAACTCCTTCTTAATAGTTTGTTGGTATTTTTTTGTAACTTGGCACATTTAAAGTACATCACATGTAATGTGCGTAAGAAAGAAATTTGTGATTTGACTATTTTTCCTGGAGTTATGGCCCTTGAAACTTTAATTTTCTGTTCCAGAAACATTGTAAGTGCAAGCGGGAGGTACATCTTTGTGAGCTCACTTACACTTTCTCTATTTAGTATTTCAGGTATATATACAAATGGTTAGTTAGGCTCTTACATGTAACCAACATCCAGTAAAGGAACCAAGTTGTATGTATTAATATTATTTAGGGCAGACAATTATTGTATTTTGACTCGTGAAGAGATTTCTATATATTGTAATGTTGTCTTTCTTCCCTTATAGACCTGTAAAGCTGTGTATGATAGAATCATCGACCTACGCATAGCCACACCACAAATTACCATGAACTATGGCCTGTTTCTTGAGGAAAACAACTACTTTGAGGAAGCTTTCAAGGTGATACATCAGTGTAGTATATCTATCATATGATTACTGTCTGATTACAACTATGTGATACATTTTGTGTATTAAGTGAGATAATTTGACCTTTTATGATGTCATATACTGGGTAATGATTGTTAAATGACATCACAGACTTCAAGATTTTATTATGACATCACTATAGAGACAATAATGCGAAGATGCAAAAATTTTAAGCTCAAAAATGACATAAACAGTTCTTGATATTGTGTTAAAAAGGACGTATATTTTTCATTTGAGCTTGCCTGCAAGTCTTAGATTCATTTCATAAATGTCTATGAAATGGAAACTCTTATAATAACAGATCCTATGCAGATTTCTGAAATTGTCAAATAGGATTATGAAAATTATAACTTGAAAATGATAATTATGGACTTTATGATTGAGAAGATGTGTGTTTAACATTCTCATAACGTTTTTCAGGCATACGAGAAGGGAATTGCATTGTTCAAATGGCCCAATGTCTACGACATCTGGAATACCTATTTATCCAAGTTTATTGAGAGATATGTAAGTATAGAAATTCTCCTGGAAGCAGGATCTTGAAGACTTTAGTTATTTATTTTTAACTATTTTATCTTTTAACTATTTAATTTTTCACGGCCATATTAAAAGAAATGTATGATTGTACATACATATACATATAAAAAATATGGGTTTTCTCAGCAAATGCAGCATAATTTCAAACAGAAGTAACTAATTCATCAGCATTTGAAATAATGTTTTGTCGTCCAGACTTGGGTGTCACAAACAATCTTAAACGTTAGTGAAAGCATGGCTAAAGTTAAGGGAAAATGTTAAGCTTCAGGAAAGATAGTGAAATCAGGATCTGTTGTCAGCCGCGAACCAAGCATGGCTGAAGTCCTGAATATGAGGCTTAGTATTACATCTTCCTAACAAGTACCAGAGGGGTATATCATCATAGCATCAGTCAGATTTTTAAAGCTTTTCAAGAAATTAGTTATTCCACTCCTTTCATATATTCGTATTGTTAGGATTTCAATGTGAATGTACAGGAATACAAGTTTAAAACAAATTTGTTGTGACATTAAAACATTCCTCTTAATGGTAAGTTGTAATAATTGCATAACACATTTTATCACCAAGTAGATGAAAACTCACAATATCCATTATCTGACCTGGCAGGGGTGAAAGTTTTACCTGGCGAATGTTTCCTCTTGTAAAGTATATACCTTGGTAAGATGCAGAGTAGAAGACGTGGACATTTTCTATTATAGGGAGGATCAAAACTTGAGAGAGCTAGGGACTTGTTTGAACAATGCCTGGAGAACTGTCCGCCAAAATTTGCAAAAGGTTTGTAGTATTAACCAAGTTTACTTCTTACACACAATACAACGAGACAAAAATGATATTTGATTTTACAATGTCCAACATAATCATATCCAGACAAAGGAAACAAAAGGAAAAATAAAAATTAAATATGTACAACATTATGATGCAAACCTTCATCTTTCCTATCTTATATGCCAGGTGCCCTTCAAAAAACTAATTGTGGCTTCTGGGGGGTTACTCCTATGACTATTTATTTATAAATGAACTGGTAGACTTTGATCTTCCAACCTATTGTTAAAACTGTTAGATGTCTACCATATATCGTTAAACTGGTAAACTTCCACCATATATATTACTGGTATGCTTCTACTATCTATTGTTAACTGTTAATTGGTTGACCTCTAACATCAATTATTAAAATGATACACTTCTCCCATCTTTTGTTAAATGATATGCTTCTACCATCTATTGTTAACTGTTATTAATTGGTAGACTTCTACTATCAATTATTAAAATGATACACTTCTACCATCTTTTGTTAACTGCTAATTGGTAGACTTCTATTATCGATTGTAAACTGGTAGCCTTCTTCCACTATGAATCTGTTTTGTTTCTTTTAGATTGAGAGCATCATTTCAATGACAGAATTTCATAAAATCACTTTTACGAATCATATGTGACTATTTACCTGAAATTATTTGATGTGTTTTGTAGCAATATTCCTTCTGTATGCCAAGTTGGAAGAGGAGCATGGTTTAGCACGACATGCCATGGCTGTGTACGATCGTGCTACTAAAGGGGTGTTACCAGAGGAACAGGCAGAGGTAAGGGGTCAAAGGCTCAATTAAGGTCAGGGGTTGTCCTTTTGAACGAAATAAAGAATGACCTTTAGGGAGTCAGAAAGTAAAATCACGTGAAGGCCATTTGCTGAACCTAGACAAATCTTATCCAGAGGGCTGAGATTTTTCGGTCCAAATCACACAAGTGTGGTCGATTATTTTTTCCCCTGCTTGCCTACCATTTTAACTCATTCACCCCTGAAATTTCATAATGAACTATTCCAACCTTTGAACTGGAAGAGTTCAAATGTATCTTCAGGGGTTAATGGGGTTGGAATAGTTCATTATGAAATTTCAGGGGTGAATGAGTTAAACCTCTACAAGTTATAAAATTGAACCCACTGCACCATCATCAATGGCACCTGATCACGAAATGTGTGATAAAAATGATGACATTTGTACTGTCATACAGTTATGCTTCATAAAGTGATGATATTTGATGACACATTCTGAATGGTGACGTCCCTCAATTTTTCCTTTGAACGACTTCAACTGAAGAATGGACAGGTCTAGAGTCATGATATTTGGCTGAAAGCTTCGTTGCTAAGAGTCCATCAAAGCTTGAGAATGAAAATGACCTTGATCCACTTTCAAGGTCACAGGGGTCAAATGTTTCAAACTTCTTCTGAAGAACTGAAAGGTACAGAATCTTAATATTTGGCTGGTGGCTTCCTGGGAAAGAGCCCGACAAAGTTTGAGAACGAAAATGATCTCAACATACTTTCAAGGTCACAGGAGTCAGATATGTCAAACGCTTCAAACGACTTCTCCTGAAGAACCGAAAGGTATAGAATCTTCATATTTCGCTAATAATTTCTTTTAGTAGAGCCTGACAAATTTTGAGAACTAAAATGACCTTGACCTATTTTCAAGGTCATAGGGTTCAAATATGTCAAACACATCAAATGTCTTCTGAATAATGGACTGGCCTAGAGTCATAATATTTGGCTGAAAGCTTCATTTGTAAGAGTGTGACAAAGTCTGCGAGTGAAAATTACCTTGATTTTCTATCAAGGTCACAGGGATCAAATATGTCAAACACTTCAAACGACTTTTTCTGAAGAAATGAAAGGTATAGAATCGTAATATTTTGTTGGCATCTTCTTTGGATTGAGGTAGATGAAGTTTGCTTATGAAAATGACCTTGACCCACTTTCAAGGTCATGGGGGTCAAATACGTCAAAAACATCAAATGACTTCCTCTGAATAAACGAAAGACATAGAATCATAATATTTGGCTGGTGGCTTCTTGGGATAGAGCTAATCAAAGTATGTGAATGAAAATGACCTCAACCTACTTTAAAGGTCATAGAGGTCAACAACACTTCAAACGACTTGTTCTGAAGAACTAAAATGCATGGATTCATAGATTCAGCTGGTAGCTGCTTGGGATAGAGCCAACAAAGTACTAATAATAATCAATTTATTTCAAGTTGAAAGTTAAAATAGTCTCAATTGTAGAATCATGTAATTTCACAGAGTCCACAGCCCTCGTTGTGGCAGTACCAACATCCCTGTGGGTACTGTGAAACTTTTACCTCTGTAGATTTTTCAACTCTATGAAATTTATGCATTACAATTCGATTCTAGTCCACTGTTGCTTGATTTGTCATCTATTGATTACTACAGAGCAATTCTGCCCAGCACTGCAGAGCAATTCTGCACCCTGGCTAGCCTCTGCTGACCATCTATATCAAATTTAATGTTACACAACATTTAAGATCAAGAGCAGCTGAGATCTTCAATCCAAGTAGAGATAGGGTTTTCTCAGATTGTATGTATAATGTGTATGTTGTTATATATATAAACATGTATATATAAATGTTGAAAGTTTTTGTGATAGATTCAGAGAAAACAAATACTGTCTTTTATATCATCACTGGTATAAACTTAAAGTAATGAAAGATGTTTGTTGTACATGGTTTGTTGTAGTAGGTGTATTGTGAAAATGTATAGAGGTTATAGGTAATATACTCCGTCTGCGGCACGGTCACACCGGTGCAATTTATATGATGTGCTGAATGATTTGTTATATTAGGCACAAATGGTACCATAGGAAAATTAAAGTTGGGAAATAAGTGCATATTCAGTTTTGAACTAACATCAGATATAATGATTCCTATACAATGATGCTTAGTTTTATACCTATATGATGATGCTGAGTTTTATACCTATACAATGATGCTTAGTTTTATCCCTATATGATGATGCTTAGTTTTATACCTATACAATGATGCTTAGTTTTATACCTATATGATGATGCTGAGTTTTATACCTATACAATGATGCTTAGTTTTATCCCTATATGATGATGCTTAGTTTTATACCTATATGATGATGCTGAGTTTTATACCTATACAATGATGCTTAGTTTTATCCCTATATGATGATGCTTAGTTTTATACCTATACATTGATGCTTAGTTTTATACCTATATGATGATGCTTAGTTTTCTACCTATATGATGATGCTTAGTTTTATACCTTTACAATGATGCTTAGTTTTATACCTATACAATGATGCTTAGTTTTATCCCTATATGATGATGCTTAGTTTTATACCTATATGATGATGAATCTTCCACAGATGTTTAACGTCTACATTAAGAGAGCAGCTGAGATATATGGTGTTACCTATACCCGACCTATCTATGAAAAAGCCATAGAGGTTCTGCCAGATGAACAATCAAGGTGAGATTATACTTAAGTAACAGGATGACACACATGTACATGTACCTAGAGAAGGGAAGGCCAAAACAATAAATGCATGTTTCGGGTACCCCAAGCAACCCTAGTTTTGACCTCCAACCCTAGCATTTCTATTTCACTCGAATGCACTTAAACATCCCATTTGAACATGATGAAAATCGTCACATCTTTATGACACCTCTATTTCATGGGCATGTATCAAAATTAAATTTAAATCCCATATTATTATTTAAAAGGCCAATAAATATATACCCAATGAAAAATGAATTTGATTATTTTCATGAAATGATTTTTGTAATTTCTTAAGTTATCCCCCACTCAAAACAAAATGAATAAATAAATACCTACCAACCTACCCTATTTTTTTCAGTCATGTTACAAGAAACATACATTGGGTTTTTTTGGGGGGGGGGGCTAATACCTTTTTATGACCAAACAAAGTTCCTGGATGTCTAGTAAAGGACACTTGTCCTTTTGTATTGCCTTAAGAGTAACATCAATTCACAGAAATGTTCTAAAACATTGTGTAGATGAACACCTCACTTCTTTATACAGGATGTTTGTAGTGTCCTTCTTTTTCATCTTTTTCATTAGTGATCTCTTTAGATAAGTTATATGTTAATTAGGACCTGTTATGTGATGATTAAAATTATGTTTTCTGATTTTTTCCTGGTCGTGTTTTCAGAGAGATGTGCATGAGGTTTGCAGATCTTGAAAGAAAACTTGGAGAAATTGACAGAGCAAGGGCACTATATTCTCATTGTACCCAGATGTGTGATCCTCGGGTAAGGGAAATAACTCAGTGTCTTAGCGTCTTAGACCAGAAGTGACCGTTTGTATCTAATGACTGAAGAATATCATCCTGTTTTACTGTCAACATCTTTCTGCAATTGCATATTACTTTGAACCCTGATTTGCTATTCATTCAAAAATCAAATCAGCATTGAAAATGATTGAAAATTTGCAAGAAATGTTTTTTAGGGCTATTCAAGAAAAAACATAAAACACCACAGGGGATTCCATATGTAATATCAAAGAAGGACCTGACCAACCATAGAATTAATCATTTTATACTGTGCCTTATACAATACTTACTGTTCTCCAACTCCTAACCAGGCCTGAATTTCTTTAATTTGAAGTGTCCCCCGCCTCCCTGGACTAGGCATTTTTCTGGAAAAGTCCATTGAGGAAATAATAATCTTGTTAAACAATACCTCTTTTCTTGCAGGTGGCACCCCACTTCTGGCAAGTGTGGAAGGACTTTGAGATTAAACACGGGAACGAGGACACAGTGCGGGAAATGTTGAGGATCAAACGTAGCATACAGGCTATGTACAACACACAGGTGAGACAGGTGTAGCAAAACTCAACATTGTGGGAGGTTGCATTTTACACCATTGTGTAATACCAAAGCTGTTTGTAGTTGTTTGAAGAAAACGTTCAAGAGTTTCATGAATGTCAAAACAAAATCTGTAATTATTTTTTGCCCATTCGTACATATGCATAAAAAATAAGGATGTGATTTACTCGTAAGAATTATCCATCTTCAAGTCCTTGATGTTGTTGCAATTTTTAGTTCACCTGACCCAAAGGTCTAATGTGTTTAAATCTTGTTAACAGGTTCTTTTGAATTACTTTGAGTCAGGACACTGATATTTTACCTGTAGCTTTATTCTAGTCCACTTTTAAGGTTACAATTGTGCGATTAATACCAGATGAGCGATGCAGTCCGATTGGGCCTCTTGCCCTTTTTTGCAATGTCGCAACTGCATTAGGATATTGTTGGTCAGTGAATACATTTGACATCTCACAAAAGAAATCTGCAAATATATAGGCTGTAGAACAAAGGTATTACTTACTAAACAGATAACACCGAGACCTGATTGTCATTACAATCACAGATTTATTCTTATTTTGCTCTGATACAAGCTATGGTTTAGTGAGTTTTAAAATTTCAAAAGGAATTCGAAACAAATAGATGAACTGTGTAGTTTTATTACACTTTTGTTTATTTCTATGAACTCATTGAAAGCAAGTCTGGTAATAATCGTTCTACAAATGATGCACCATTGTTTTCATTCCAGGTTAACTTCATGTCTTCACAAATAATGGCAGCTCAAGGTGGAGGCAAAGCAGACACACCAGGTAAAAATAATATATAAAGTATACACTGGGTAAGTTCAATGGAACAATTTTATGGACACGAGCAAGGCAAATGACTTCTGCAACATTGCTTATCTTTCAACATCTAAATGCTTCTATGGACCCATGGGCTATTTAAGACAATGACGTTTATTGGAAAGAAGTTGGGTACGATAAGTAACATATTGGGATAGGAAGTAATATAACAATATGATTGTGGTTACAGAAACTTCCAACCCGGAGATTGACAGCATGAAGAAGTTGGAGGAGCGTGCCAGGCAGCTAGCAGAGGAGGCCATGAAAGACCAGGCCAAACCTGAGAAGGGCATCCTGTTTGTCAGGTACGAAGCTGTGACTGTGATACATGCTCTCTTTAATATTTTAATTATTACAAACCTGGTCCATGTTATTACTGTGAAATCAGATTTTTTGGTGGGACCTAAACTTTGTGGTTTCCCGAAAAAAGATACCAATTTGTGGGTACATGAATTTGTGGATAGCTTTATGTCAAACTCAAAATTCGTGAATAAAGAGCACTTGCAAAATCAACAAAATTAAAAAAAAACAAAAAAACATTGATTTCACAATATATTGATACAGTCAATCTTTAGATCACGCATCATAAGGTTCCTTATTGCATGTGCTTTACTACTCTGTAAGCCAGAAGTCCTTTTCGGCTGAACAGATGGGTTGTTATCCACTTGTCATTCAACAAATGTAAACAAGAATGTGTTTCAGTGTAAAATTTCTTTTGATTATAATCTGAAGTCATTATTTATTCCATGTTTGTCAGTCACTGTCAGTGGTGATTGATTCAGGTTTTGGGAAGCAAATTGAACAATACAGTATTATCATGAATAATGTTTTGCAGAACAGATAATATGCCTACAAAAAACAATTGTGTGTATGTCATCAAAGCAATACCACACATCTTTATCTGGTGTTTCAGATATTCTGTACACGAAAATAAAAACAATCTGGGATATCTGATACAGATATCTTATTAGGTAAATTATGATATTTCGGTATTGCTATAAAATCTGCCATTGTAAAAAAGGTGTGCCTCTTTCCATTCCGACAGGCCATGTTTTAGTTTTGATATTGCAACATGACTGAATTTCGAATTTCATGCTGTATCATTGGTTGACAGCAAATATTTTAAGTGAAAGGAGACATTTTCTCTTACCCTGGACAGACTTATCCACACATTTTCTGATGTGAGAAATCCTTGTCTCACTGTAGGGTTGAGACGGTGGTGATTCCCACACTCACAACAATGACGTTGCGCCGACAATGTTTCAATGTCACATCAACAATGTATTGAGCCTGTAATGTTAACATTCGATTATGTATATGAAAGGATCAACAGGGCAGAAGAAAAAGAATCGTTCACCCCTGTTGAGGTGACATTGGGTATCTCAAAACTCAGGGAAAGATTTTTAAGCTGCCAAAAACTCAGCAAGCCTTGTGCTTGTCAACTTAAGAATCTTCCCCCTTGGGTCGAGATTCCCCTCTCTCACTCCCAAGGGGGTGAAAGATTCTATTAATCTCACAGGTGAATATTACACTGTCCTTTATCTGTATCAACTAGTTATTAGACCCCCCAGCTGTACTACCAGATATGACTTTAGGTTTGCACTCTGTCTGTCCATCGGTGTCAGTGTGTTCTATCCAGGGCAGAGCTCAAAAACTGTCATCTACAATTGCCAAATTGTGTGTGCAAGTCTGTCTTAAGATGGTTGAGTGTTTCATACAGATATCAGGTCTCACCACTGTACCCGGAGTTACTGCCCTTTGTTGTTCAACCAGCATCACTTTGTCCAGGGCATTTGTTCTATACTGTAGTCACCTACTATTTCCAGAGTTTGTATATGATGGCAGAGTGTATTGCACTGATATTGGGTCTTGGCCTCACTGATCACTATATTATCATATATAGTTTATATGAAAAGAGTGAATTAAAATAACACAATTTTACGTAAAAACATATACCTTTATTGTTAGATTCTGTATCCTTTATATAATGAACATCCATGAATTATCCAGATTCACATTTTCTATTTACATTATAAATATTATCACTGGCATGAAGCTATACTGTATAACGTGAAATTTTTACCCAAGCCTTGAATTAGAAGAGTTAAAATGTGTCTTCAGGGGTGAATGAGTTAAACTGGACTTACCCAGTCTATTATTTGGTAAGGTTCAAATGTGACAGTAGGGGGAATGAGTAAAAGGCCTTAGAAAACCTAGAGGAAAATAGAAAATGATACTACATTAGTAGTCAAGCTCTGATCTTTTAAAAAAACCTTTCTATATCCAGGCCTTGCAGACTTCACTTTTTTTGCATAATCTTGATGGTTGTGTTTCTCATCGTTTACAGGAGTAACACCACAGATGAGGAGCTAGGAGAGATGACGAAGACGACCAACCCTGATGCTATTGACATTGACGACTTCAGTAGTGATGATGACGAAAATATTGAAGGTAGGAGTGTGTTGTATTTGCCATTTCCTCTCGTCTTGATTGAAGAATAGTTTAATTTCTTGCACTTTAGGCCAAAACATTTGGACTAATTTTCATCTATTAATCTATTGCCATGAAAAAATGTTAACAGAATTGAGAAAAAAGTAGTAATATTGGACATAAGTTATAGTCAAACAATTTAATATAAAGACTGGGTGGTCAGGGGGCACAGTGGATAATCCACTCGCCTTTCACCATGGCCGGCTTGGGTTCTATTCCTGATCAGACCTGAAAAGACATTGGGTCACCTGCCCAACCACCTGGGTTTTCTCTGGGTACTCCTGTTTCCTCCCACATTGTGAGTGACTGACCATTTGTGCGCTTCCATCAGGCCAACAAGGGAGATTAATATAAGTTAGAAAACTTCTATAATTGTTGCAAAAATACTTAAAACTTTATATGATAAAAATTTATCTGTTCACCTTAAATCTAGATAAGTTGCTAAAGCACTTTTTCTGAAATGTTCTTTTATGCATGCTTTCCTGATTTAATTGCTAAACTCCTTTATGATGCCTAATTAGAGGCCATTCATTTGGTCTTTTAAGGATCCCTGTCCCACTGCATCGCCTTTTTCCTGTATACAGTACAACTTTCCCTTAACTTGGTTTGGAAATAACTGTAGCACATATTGGCTAGTACAATTCCATTGACCAAACAGCTCAATCAGTGGTAGCGTTAGTATAACAATCTGAAGTCCAGGGTTCAAATCCAGTCTAGCCCCGCTTTTTTTACACTTAAAACACTCTTGTCGATTATATTTTCTTTATTTCATCTTTTAATACTTTTCATGAAAATCCCTCAAATTGATTTTCTATTAAGAAATGATTTATCAAGGCTATAGTCATGCCAAAAAAACCAGATTGAAATATTTAGTTACATTTTATGGCAGTGGTAAGGAGATATTTAAGCATATTATATTTAATATTTCAGAATTAGAAGTTCAGAAACAGTCTGTTCCATCAGAGGTATTCGGATCACTGGCTAATGAAGAGGACTGAAAGTAGATGTCTGGAAAAAAAGACAATAAATCAAAGAAAATATTCTCTGGCCATTTTGAACAGGAAATCTCACCATGTGCTGGGGTTCAGTTATAAAAGTGAATGTAATAAATGTTTGATGAACACATAAAAATTATTTCTTTTCTGTTGTAGAAAAATGTTTAAAGCTCGGTCTATAAACATCACTTTTTATACTTGACAGCTGTCCTGGTTTAGGAAAATATAACTTTTCCTTTATTCCCCTCCCCCCTCCCCCCCTATTTTTTTGTTGAGATCTCAATATGAAAAGACAGTTATAAAATAAACGAGGTCTGTAAGGAGATATTGCAGAGAATCTCACAATTTTCACAGGATGATACAAATTATTCTTTGCAAACGACAAAATTATGATTAACACTAAATAGCAGTCACTCATATAAACAACATCAAACAAATCACTAGGACTTTTTAAAATGAAACCTATAAATGAATTAACCCAAAAATATATAAGATGCACACAAAGCAAAAGTCTGACCCAAACTAGAATAATGATCTAATAAATGGGACCTACACAGCCCTGTCAGGTTGTTCCAAATAGAGAAAACAATGCAGAGAACCACCATACAACAATACAAGCTCAGTACAAGGCATCAACAAACTAGGCTGGCCCTCACTAAAACATGTAGACTACAGATCAAACATACTGTTCTAAACTAGTATACACAATCATCTTGCAATAAATCCTAGCACCATCTTCATTCCAACAGACCTACGAACAAGACATACACAGCCCTATGTCAACACATTTCTGCTACTAAGGATACACACATTTACCAATTATCACACAATAATCCTTCCTCGAGTACTTCAAGGCTCATAATACCATAATGATATTTCACTTGTTTGTCAGAGCATACCTTTATCACTTTATCACTTCTCACTCTTGCTTTGCACTTGTGAACTATCTGTATTCTGTCTTACTCCTGAAATAAGTACTTGGAACGGAAAACCATTAATATTAATAACCTCTACTTACATGTACTGATGAATTGTTGTTGTTTTGTTCGCGTCTGGTCGCGACGACCTGAAGGGTTAAAACAGTGACGGTAGCCTGTTTGAAGTATTATCTCAATATACAGAAGATTACAAGAACAGCATTTTAAAGTAGGTCTCTAATACTGAAGGCAAAACCAGGAGAATGGTTTGAAATATGATGTGTTCATCACATCTGAAATACAACTAAAAAATTGCTTTGTAATATTATCCATGGGTATTGGCTTGATGTTAGTCATTTTAATTTACTTGCTCGATATACGCAGAGAAGGTTTCGCTCATGTACTGTGTATAAAAAGTGTGCAAAGGACTCGTTTTGCTTTCTATCGGGTCGCCGTGTTAAATGATACAATAAAGCACGAGGTTGTTTTGGCGTCCAAGGCAGCCACAGCTTACCGTTGACCGTGAAAGGGCATGGCATGGTGTGGCCAGATTAATCGTATCCAGGTCTTGGAGCAGGTTTACACACAAAAACTCAACGGCCGATCGTCCAAGGTCGGGTAGGCCGCATGTAAATGTTACGGGACAAGTTTATATGCTTACGTCATCTATACATGTGTAATAGGGCAATAATGGCGTCAAGTACTTCTTTCATTATCACCGTCGTATTAGTCCGCAACTGTAATTCGTCGGTTTTCCGAGCTAGGGCAACGTCGATTGACCCGGCGTCATCACCAAAGTCGCTCAGCATAGACACAACAACATTACAGTGGCAACAAGTTTTATTCACAAATGAGTCCCGACATCTCGCTCAGATTGCAGAACGCGAGTGTATCGTAGGCGTGGTGAACGTTATCATGACGCATGCACATTACGTCATGATCGTTTTTGCGGTGAAAGGGTCATGGTGTGGGCTGGGATGTCGGGCAACGGGCGCAAAGACCATGTGATCGTCGACGGTGGCCTGAACGCTCAACGTTACATGGAGCAGATCTTTGTACTACATGTTGTTCCATTCATGGTGACAAATGGTGGCACGTTTCAGCAAGATAACGCACGTGCTCATGTTGCACGCGTCAAACTGAACTTTCTTCGTCAACCGAACATCAATGTACTTGATTGGCCATTGCTTTCCACAGATTTAAATACCACGGAACACATGTGGGATCATTTGGACAGAAGAGGGAACCGACTCATTGCTTCCATGCGACGTCGTTGTCAGGCTATGATCAGCGCAAGGGGTTCATTCATGCGATCTTTATTCTGTGAAATTGCTGGTTAAACACTAGTGACGTCGAGACATTTGAATTAAACTGAAATCAATTAATTGATTAACACATTGATATCGATTTTGACCATGTGAATTTACGGCATTTTCACTACATAAATGAAATACTATCAAAACAATATGTAATGTTCTTTTGGGGCTACTACATTTCTGAAACTACTGAAGATGAAACCAAAAGCATGTGTGAAGTATTGTCTCGATATACTGACGGCTACAACAGCAGGTGCTTACATCATGAACTATTGTCTTGATGTTGGATGTTTTATCTCGTTATACGGAAAATTACTCCGGAAACGTGTGAAATAACCTTGATGCGCTTCAGTTTTAATTCCCCTGCGACTTGAGTCGCATGCAACATCCGGTGAATGACACAGAATGTTGTATTCACGTAAATCGACTATGTAGTGAATGACACAGATTGGTGTATTCACACAGAATGTTGTATTCACGTAAATCGGCTATGCAGTAAATGACACAGAATGTTGTATTCACGTATAATGACTATGTAGTAAATGTCGACTATGTATTGAATGACACAGAATGGTGTATTCACGTATGACGACTATGTAGTGAATGACACAGAATGGTGCATTCACGTATAGCGACTATGTAGTGAATGACACCGAATGTTGTATTTACGTATAACGACTATGTAGTGAATGACACATAATGGTGTATTCACGTATAGCGACTATGTAGTGAATAACACAGGATGTTGTATTAACGTATATCGACTATGTAGTGAATGACACAGATTGGTGTATTCACACAGAATGTTGTATTCACGTAAATCGACTATGCAGTAAATGACACAGAATGTTGTATTCACGTATAACGACTATGTAGTGAATGACACAGAATGTTGTATTCACGTACAGCGACTGTGTAGTGAATGGCACAGAATGGTGTATTCACGTATAACGACTATGTAGTGAATGACACAGAATGTTGTATTCACGTATATCGACTATGTAGTGAATCACACAGAATGTTGTATTCACGTATATCGACTATGTAGTGAATGACACAGAATGTTGTATTCACGTATAGCGACTATGTAGTGAATGACACTGAATGTTGTATTCACGTATAACGACTATGTAGTGAATGACGAAGAATGTTGTAATCACGTATTACGGCTATGTAGTGAATGACACAGAATGTTGTATTCACGTATAACGACTATTTAGTGAATGACACAGAATGGTGTATTCACGTATATCGACTATGTAGTGAATGACACAGAATGTTGTATTCACGTATAACGACTATGTAGTGAATGACACAAGATGTTGTATTCATGAATATCGACTATGTAGTGAATGACACAGAAAGTTGTATTCACGTACAGCGACTATGTAGTGAATGGCACTGAATGTTGTATTCACGTATAACGACTATGTAGTGAATGACACA